CAAAATCTCAATCCCGGTATTTGCGGGATTGTTAGATGTTAATCCCGCGGGATCCCGGTATTTGCAGGATTCCGCAAAACTTTAAATAAATTGGCAAATAAGCAATTCTGTGCGATTAACTTCTGTATTAAAATAAATCGCTAATTATCACAATATTTAACAAAAAAGTATCTTCATTCTAACTCGAGGCCTAACTTATAACTCAAAAAAACCTCACCTGTAAAGAACAAAAAGGTGAACTTCTAAAGTGCCTCAAAAATCATAGTACATTTTTAACGAAAAAAGTTTAAAAATTATTTAAAAAATAACTTCTCCGTTATGCCATTGAATAATAATTATTCAATGGTTATGCGTTTCATTAACAAAGTAAACAGAGTCGTCCCCTCAGTCCCGCTCCATTTATGTGCGGGATTAATCCAGCAAAAATGCTGCGGGATCCCGGTATTTCGGGATCCCGCGATCCCGGTATTGCATTCCCTAGTGAAAACATTTTTTTTCATTTTTTAATGCTATACGGCGACTCGGCGAGTGTTTATATAGTTTTAGCAAATATAGAATATGAAGCGCGGTTGGATTCGGTTTCGTTTAAACTTCAGGCATATTCATACTTCCCTCAAAATTTAAGCAACAAAAAGCGTTGCCAATTCCGCAAACGCAATTTAATCCTTAAAATCCGTGGAAACACACAACGTAAGTAGTTATTTTGAAATGTATAATGTTTGTGCTTGACAATTTATCAGTAGGTACACACAAAAAAGTGTTTTTGCTTCAATGAAAACAAACCTGTTGGGTTGGTATATTATATGAACATGATCATCATGTTCTCTTCTTTTCCACTGAAAGAAACGTGATTTCACGTTTATTCCTGTAAAAGTCGTCGATACAATTAATTTATGGAGGATGTTTTTGGGAATCCGTTCCCTTTAACAGTTTCCGTTACATAATAATTATATACGTAAGTGTATGATATACGTGAGGCACTCGCGTGTTATACAGTCATTGGAAAACCGTCGTTCGGTAAAAGGGAAACCGTTAATTGTCTACCGACATAATCATAATCTTGACTGAGATTTTAAAAGTACAATTTCATCGTGGTTCGTGAAAGATGGCAATTTTTAGGTAAAAAAAATCTCACTTTGCTGCACTAAATTAACTCGTACCACGTAAGCTTAACAAATTTCTTCCCTAATTCTCAACGGTAACGTCCCGGATATTCAAAAAAAACTTCAAGTATTAAAGACTCGTTAACAACATAAGTAGACATAAATTTCTACATTTCGAAAAGACGCCGCCGCTTGGAGGTTTCTTACATAAATTGCTTTCGACTTTATTGATGTGAGCCAATCGTAATCCGCAATATACAGATTTTTTTCTACTTTATATAGCCATTTTTATACAATTTGCTGATAAACTGTTTGGAGAAGGCAAGATTGGCCATCGACGTCAAAAGCGATAGAGGTTATTTGGCACACTCACTTAGTTTTATCTATTTTCCATTATATGTCAGTTTTCTTAACGTCGTCGCGTACAAAGTAAATCTCTGCTTTCAGTTTTGCTTGCAAGATAGGGGCGAGGGAAGAGGATAATTCTAATCGTTCTATTCTCTCGAAATGGGAATCGGAACACGAGCCAAGGAAATTCTACGATATTAAATTTGTCAACGAAGTTCCGCTTTCACACACGGGATTGAATAAGCTTAGAAGCATATACTATTGCATTCGAATAAGAAAGTGTAAACTAAACTAGTTGTGCTACAATTCGGATAGCTGTTGAAATCAAGTTACAAAAGTGACATTTAAAGACAGAAAGTTCTTCCAGTAAACTTCTCCCAAAGATACATGGGATATAATTGCCAGATATTGCTTTTTAAAAGTAATTCCCATGATGTGTATTTGATCCTGCCAAGTAACGCAATTGAAGACTTCCAGATACTTTTCGGTGTCAATTTCTATCAACTTGAATTGAATTGTTCCACTTGTCCAGGTGGAGTCGTCTCCAAAAATGTATAGAATTTTTCTAAATCAAGGATTTGTTCCCTCCTCGTGTTTCTCAGCAATGACACTTCCTCATAAATTTAAAGTAAATTTATGATTTAATTTACAACTTTTTTCTTTCTTTATTCAGCCAGTTCATTTAACATCATTAGCTTACCCTTTTTTAGATTAATGAACTACAACTAACGTGTATTTTGACAAGCTTTTCCAATTACAAAGTCACGTCGAACAATGCTATATTGCTAGTCGGTTAACCAGTAAGTCGATAGATTTGCTCTAAGACTGTTGAGCCTTGTTATATTTTGCACATACAACGATACGGACGACGACGACGACGACTAGCATCTTAATAGACTAGAAACATGAGCCCCTTACTGGCCTGTGTAACATCCTGCGTCAACGTTCAGCATTAGTCTGTAGTATATAAAATTAAAAAAAAATTGGACCGACCGGGAATCGAACCCGGGCCGCCCGCGTGGGAGCTACAACAATTAGGATGAACGACGACGACGGCTGATATCTTAATAGAATGGGATATGAATGGATGGATCACGCGATTCCTTTTGGAAAATCCGTTGCGAATAGTTTAGCGGATATCAAAGCTGTGAGTTGGAAGCTAAGTGTGAATCGCTAATTTATTTATTTAGTTCTTTGGTTTAGATTGTGATTTGGCGAATGATTTTAAGGGAATCATTGCGTAGCGCAATAGCGTTAGACAGAAATGAGAATTTAGGATCGGTCCCTCATGAAATTGTGTTTAAGATAGTAGAATCATTTAACGGTAATACACTTGTTTGGACACCAATTTTTCCTACTCAGCTACTTGATTTTAATTTTTAATTCCTCCTATTTTTTCACCCAAGATGAAGACTATTTAATTGCGTTGCATTATCAATATAGGGACGGTTTCTAGACCAAAGACAGTAGCGCAATTGTGTTCCGCCATTTTCAAGTAAAATGTGGTGCCAAATAAATAAAAAGGTAATCACACGTTTGCGACGTCCGATGATCTAAAAAACGCAATAATTAACGATCTTAAATGATGAGTCCGGATAGTTACAAATCAATAACCCCGCTGTTCGGTTTTTTAGTGTTTTCTCTCGCACTTGTCACGCTGCTTTCGTTATATTTTTAAAAATATAGGGAAAATTCTTTAAATTCGTCTACAACGTTGCGTGAACAGTCTGGTCCGTATCTCAGTACGACGTCGAAGCGCACGGACCGCTTACAGAATTCACACGACGTGAGAGCCGTCCGACCAATAACGCAGCCATCGACCAACTGAGGTTATGCTGGAATTCCCTCTCGAAGGGGTTAAATACCGATCCTCCAACAAGCAATAGACGTCAGAAGTCGAGAGCCTGACTCTCTCTCCGACGGACGTGTTTACGGTGCGATCGAAGTGTTAGTTTTTAAAGTGTAACGAGTGTGGAGATTTTAACAGAGGCGAGGGAGTATAGTGAGCAAATTAAGGAGTTAGTTAGTGTACTTGCAGAGAACGAACACAACGTTCGTGCGTTTCTGGAAGAATTTTATCAGGGGCGATTAAAAAGGCCGACTAAACAGCGATGGCATTCACCAGCGGTATCAACAGGAACAAAAAACGGTGAACGAAGAACAGATACGAAAAATGAAGCGACCTCGACAGCTACGAAGACAAGTCACTCGACGATTAATAAACGAAAACGACGAGGACCAAAATACCAACGACAAACGAAAAGTGAACAAAAAAAGGAGAAAATTGCACCGCATAAAAATCCGTGAAAAAACAGAAAGGCGAGACTAGTTGCACAGAGAATGGATCACAACACGGACGACGATTTAAGGAAGTTGGGAGCGACAAAAAGGTAACAGTTTTCCTAAGCGGGGTCTTGACAGAACTAACAAAACAGGAAATTGAGGAATACCTTCAAACGAGGACTATCCAACTAAGATAACCATAATAAAGGACAAAAAAGGTTATTCGGCTCTACTGGACCTAGTGGAGATCGCTAAGGACTACAAATCTATTTTACAAAATGGGACTCGTGCTGCCGACTGACAAAAACTGACGTAATTCAATGTCACAAATGCCAATTATTCGGACACGTACAATAGAACTGTTATTCCAGGCCAAAATACGTGAAAGGCAGGGAGGATCACAGAACCTACTTGGTCGACAAACGTAAAACAACAGTATTCAAATCACAGATTACCGCCAGATACTGGTCATTACAGATCTCCCGCAACACGAACACGAGATCCATCAAGTATCAAGCTCGGTACCGCAACCGCTATCAAGGAAGTCAATATGGCAATAGAGAGATCCAGGGGCCAACACGTCGGAAATTTTCAATTGAAATACACGAATCCATACACTATAGAAGCCGTGATAGACACGAACGCTTCCTGGGTCAGAAGAGGAAACGATCTAGTTACACGACCTGAAACCGGCACCCGGAGAAACCACGACCAGCCACCACAACCACAACCCCCTGGTGCAACTCCTCCAAACGGGACGCATCTAAGAACAAGCACCCATTGGCAGGCGTGCCAGAAACCACGGAACCGTTAGCAGCAGTTAAGAGGGCATGCGCAGAGTTGCGCTCAGGAAAAAGGGGGTCGTTTCGTATTTTGATTCTGAAAGATATTTAAGTAAAAATCTGGTGGGAGAGCGGCATTGTTACTGAAATGCGCTA